AACACCGTTATTAACACCACCAACAACAACAACACTATTAACACCACTACTAACACTGCTTCTTCAACTTCTACTATCACTTCTCTAACACAACACCACCACAATGATACATCGGTCAACCGCAGGCGAATTAGCCACTGTACACCATCATTCATCTACACAAACACACAAATACAAATGTGAATTGCGCCTATCCACAATTGACATACCACCTCACTGAGAATTGTCTCTCCGTTGCTTATTGTCGCTCACTGCATGACAGTAATGCGAAAATAAACACCCACACAACAAATGAAGTCATCACCACACCAATGTGCACAATCCCATGTACAAATATCTATCTAACTATTTATATAATTCCTATATACACAGATAATCATGTATGATGAGAGAGTGAAAGGCTGAATGGGTTAGCGGCTCAACGAATTAGTATCTCAGTCGATCCTTGAACACACCAAACCACTTCAATTCGATCTGCCCCACTACATGCATTAGTCTCTCTACTCACTACCCTAAATACATCACACATATTCACCAACTTCATGCTTATGATCAGTGTGATCGTCATCATCATGTGTGGTTTCTGATAGATATGCACTGACACTGTGTGTTCAGTTTTTTTTTTTTTTTTTTGATGAGTTCACGTGTGACATGAATTGTGTGTGTGAGTGTGTGCGCGTGCGACTGTTCGTACGCGACGCACACAAAGACTGAATGCGGTAATGTAGGTTTGTGTTGTGTTGAGTGTTGTTGATGAGTGTATGATTCGTTGTTGTTGTTGCTGTTGCTGTTGCTGTGGCTGTTGCTGCATGAGAACATGCCTAAGGAGAGTTGTGCGCATAACTGACAGTTCAGTGTGTTATTGTCTGTTGTAATTTTCCGATTGTATGATATTTGTTTTTATCGGCAGTTGTAGTATTAGTATTAGTAGTATTAGTAGTAGTAGTGGAGTAGTAGTAGTTATTGTTGTTGTTGTGTTGGTGTTGATATTAGTAGTAGTATTTGTGGGAGTATTTGAATCAGTGTCATCAACAGTAGAAGTAGTAGTAGTAGCTGTTGTTGTAGTAGTAGTAGTAATAATTAATATAATAATAATAGTTAGTAGTAGTAGTAGTAGTAAGTAGTAGTAATAGTAATGCTATTGCTATTAATGATGATGATAATAATAATGATAAGAATAATAGTAATGGTAGTAGTGTTAGTTATAAGAGTTTTGGGATTACTGTTAATATGGCTGTTGTTGTTTATGCTGACGGTGATGATGATGCAGTTTGGGCGTATGTGAGTGTGGTCGTGCAAGTGTATGAGAGTGAGCGATGGGTAACTGTTTTGTGTGAATTGGGCCAGATACGGCCTAGAAAAATTGCATCCGACAACGATATTTCACGCCATCGGTGCGGGTTATTGGGAGTAGTTTTCAACTAGCAATAACCGCGCCTCAGATAAACTTCATTGGCTACGGTACCGCCACTGCGCAAAGTCAACCAGACAAGCCCAGTCAACACGTCCCCACCATGCCACTCAATCAAAAACATCAGCCATCCATTTGCACATCAATCACCGCCACATACACAAACACCACATTGAACAGCACAATTTCACAAACACACACACCCAATTTCAACATACACACCAAAATCGACATTATCAACTGCATCAACGTCGAACAACACTGCTCAGCAACACTTTCCATCCACAGTGCATGCAACCATTCATACTACTTATATACACATTCTCAGTAGTGAGTCGCCTCATGACGAAACAGAACAACGGAACCACCACCACTAATTCGAATACCACTACAATTAATACTACTGCTACTAATAATACCACCACCACCATTTACACCGTTATTAACACCACCAAACAACAACAACTTTATTAACACCACTACTAACACTGCTTCTTCAACTTCTACTATCACTTCTCTAACACAACACCACCACAATGATACATCGGTCAACTGCAGGCGAATTAGCCTCTGTACACCATCAATCATCTACACAAACACACAAACACAAATGTGAATTGCTCCTATCCACAATTGACAAACCACCTCACTGATTATTGTCTCTTCGTTGCTTATTGTCGCTCACTGCATGACAGTAATGCGAAAATAAACACCCACACATCAAATGAAGTCATCACCACACCACTGTGCACAATCCCATGTACAAATATCTATCTAACTATTTATATAATTCCTATATACACAGATAATCATGTATGATGAGATAGTGAAAGGCTGAATGTGTTAGCGGTTCAACGAATTAGTATCTCAGTCGATCCTTGAACACTTCAAACCACTTCAATTCGATCTGCCACACTACATGCATTAGTCTCTCTACTCACTACCCTAAATACATCACACATTATCACCAACTTCATGCTTATGATCATTGTGATCGTCATCATCATGTGTGGTTTCTGATCGTTATGCACTGACACTGTGTGTTCAGTTGCACCTGCACTGTTACGATGAGTTCACGTGTGACATGAAATGTGTGTGTGAGTGTGTGCGCGTGCGACTGTTCGTACGCGACGCACACAAACTGAATGCGGTAATGTAGGTTTGTGTTGTGTTGAGTGTTGTTGATGAGTGTATGATTCGTTGTTGTTGTTGCTGTTGCTTTTGCTGTTGCTGTTGCTGCATTAGAACAATGCTAAGGAGAGTTGTGCGCATAACTGACAGTTCAGTGTGTTATTGTCTGTTGTAATTTTCCGATTGTATGATATTTGTTATTATCGGCAGTTGTAGTAATAGTAGTAGTAGTAGTAGTAGTAGTAG